CGTGACCGTAAAGGTAAAGGGATAAGCGAGGGGCAACGTTAGGGCTTCACAGTCGTGGGGCGGCCCTCCTGTTGAGGAAGGATAAGAGTGGGGTTGTTAAAAGGGCACAGTCGTGGGGCGTTGCTCGCCTGCCTCTCATTGTGAGAGGGGGGTGGGCAAGCTTCAAAGTCTGGGGGGAAGGGATGAATTGCCACTTAGTGGTGGGGGGACAAGTGACAGCGAAGGGCAAAGGTAAGAGTTTGGCGATAATAAGGCTTCACAGTCGTGGGGCGGCCCTCCTGTTGAGGGAGGATGAGAGTAGGATAGTTAAGCGGGCTTCACAGTCGTGGAGCGGCCCCCCTCCAGAAGGAGGACGGTGGCGCATTCCATTTAACGGGCTTCACAGTCGTGGGCCGTGTCTCGCCTGGTAGGCATCCGTAGGTAGATTACATAGTATCCGAGTAATAGCGGTCGGGGTACGGCATAGTAGTAGTTCCCATTTGACACAGAGGGGAGTAGTAAGGTAGGTGCAGCAGTTGCCATGTTGTTCGTGCGCAAGCCATAATTGATACCAAAGCACAATGCGATGCGGTTGCGATGTGATGCAATGCGACCCGCATTCCAGCCTTCCAGCCCTTATGCCCCATGGCCTATGGCCGATGGGGCGGTCCTCCCAGAGGGCAGGCGCATGGCACACGCAGTCCCAGCTATGGGCTATGGGACACGCAGCCCTGATTAATTAAATGGGACGCGCAGTCTCGATTATGGGACACACAGTCCTGGCAAATGGGACGCACAGTCCCTGTCATGGGACACGCAGTCCTGGCAAATGGGACACACAGTTCCTGTTATGGGACACACAGTCCTGGCAAATGGGACGCGCAGTCCCTGTTATGGGACACGCAGCCCTGGCAAATGGAACGCGCAGTCCCCGCTTTGGGACACACATTCCTGGCGAATGGGACGCGCAGTCTCGATTATGGGACACACAGTCCTGGCAAATGGGACGCGCAGTTCCAGCTATGGGACACGCAGTCCTGGCAAATGGGACGCGCAGTCCCTGCTATGGGACACGCAGTCCTGGCAAATGGGACGCGCAGTCTCGATTATAGGACACACAGTCCTGGCAAATGGAACGCACAGTCCCTGTTATGGGACACGCAGTCCTGGCAAATGGGACGCGCCGTCCCTGCTATAGGACACACATTCCTGGCAATTGGGACGCGCAGTCTCGATTCTGGGACACACAGTCCTGGCAAATGGGACGCACAGTCCCTGTCATGGGACACGCAACCCTGGCAAATGGGACGCGTTGTCCCTGTTGTGGGACACACAGTCCTGGCAAATGGGACGCACAGTCCCTGTTATGGGACACGCAGCCCTGGCAAATGGAACGCGCAGTCCCCGCTATGGGACACACATTCCTGGCAAATGGGACGCGCAGTCCCGATTATGGGACACACAGTCCTGTCAAATGGGACGCGCTGTCCATGTTATGGAACACGCAGTCCTTGCAAATGGGACGCGCAGTCCCTGCTATGGGACACGCAGTCCTGGCGAATGGGACGCGCAGTCTCGATTATGGGACACACAGTCCTGGCGCATGGGACGCACAGTCCCTGTTATGGGACACGCAGTCCTGGCAAATGGGACGCGCAGCCCCTGCTATGGGACAAACATTCCTGGCAAATGGGGCGCGCAGTCTCGATTATGGGACACACAGTCCTGGCAAATGGAACGCACAGTCCCTGTCATGGGACACGCAGTCCTGGCAAATGGGACGCGCAGTCCCTGTTATGGGACACGCAGTCCTGGCAACTGGGACGCGCAGTCTCGATTATGGGACACACAGTCCTGGCAAATGGATCGCACAGCCCCTGCTATGGGACACGCAGTCCTGGCAAATGGGGCGCGCAGTCCCTGCTGTGGGACACACATTCCTGGCAAATGGGACGCGCAGTCTCGATTGTGGGACCCACAGTCCTGGCAAATGGGACGCGCAGCCCCTGTTATGGGACACGCAGTCCTGGCAAATGGGACGCGCAGTCCCTGCTATGGGACACACATTCCTGGCAATTGGGGCGCGCAGTCTCGGTTATGGGACACACAGTCCTGGCAAATGGGGCGCGCAGTCCCTGCCATGGGACACGCAATCCTGGCAAATGGGACGCACAGTCCCTCTTGTGGGACACACAGTCCTGGCAAATGGGACGCACAGTCCCTGTTATGGGACACGCAGCCCTGGCAAATGGAACGCGCAGTCCCCGCTATGGGACACGCAGTCCTGGCAAATGGGACGCGCAGTCCCGATTATGGGACACGCAGTCCTGGCAAATGGGACGCGCTGTCCATGTTATGGAACACGCAGTCCTTGCAAATGGGACGCGCAGTCCCTGCTATGGGACACGCAGTCCTGGCGAATGGGACGCGCAGTCTCGATTATGGGGCACACAGTCCTGGCGCATGGGACGCACAGTCCCTGTTATGGGACACGCAGTCCTGGCAAATGGGACGCGCAGCCCCTGCTATGGGACACACATCCCTGGCAATTGGGACGCGCAGTCTCGATTATGGGACACACAGTCCTGGCAAATGGGACGCACAGTCCCTGTTATGGGACACGCAGTCCTGGCAAATGGGACGCGCAGTCCCTGCTATGGGACACACATTCCTGGCAATTGGGACGCGCAGTCTCGATTCTGGGACACACACTCCTGTCAAATGGGACGCGCAGTCCTTGTTATGGCTATGCGACACACATTCTTGGCAAATGGGGAGAGCAGTCTCGAATATGGGACACACAGTCCTGGCAAATTGAACGCACAGTCCCTGTCATGGGACACGCAGTCCTGGCAAATGGGACGCACAGTCCCTGTTATGGGACACGCAGTCCTGGCAACTGGGACGCGCAGTCTCGATTATGGGACACACAGTCCTGGCAAATGGATCGCACAGCCCCTGTTATGGGACACGCAGTCCTGGCAAATGGGACGCGCAGTCCCTGCTGTGGGACACACATTCCTGGCAAATGGGACGCGCAGTCTCGATTATGGGACACACAGTCCTGGCAAATGGGACGCGCAGTCCCTGTTATGGGACACGCAGTCCTGGCAAATGGGACGCGCAGTCCCTGCTATGGGACACACATTCCTGGCAAATGGGACGCGCAGTCTCGATTATGGGACACACAGTCCTGGCAAATGGGACGCACAGTCCCTGTTATGGGACACGCAGTCCTGGCAAATGGGACGCGCAGTCCCTGCTATGGGACACACATTCCTGGCAATTGGGACGCGCAGTTTCGATTCTGGGACACACAGTCCTGGCAAATGGGACGCACAGTCCTTGTGATGGCTATGGGACACACATTCCTGGCAAATGGGGCGCGCAGTCTCGATTATGGGACACACAGTCCTGGCACACTGAACGCACAGTCTCTGTTATGGGACACGCAGTCCTGGCAAATGGGACGCACAGTCCCTGTTATGGGACACGCAGTCCTGGCAACTGGGACGCGCAGTCTCGATTATGGGACACGCAGTCCTGGCAAATGGGACGCACATCCCCTGTTATGGGACACGCAGTCCCCGCGCATTGGAGGATGCCCCATGTAAATCGGAGGTGAGGGGGAGAGATCGAAGTGGAACGGATAGGTGGCAGTGTCAGGCATGGGGGTGGGGGGGCTTACCAGCCACCGTGCAAAGGGCCCGCGTGTAGGCCATGGGCGGCCATAGGCCGCGCAGTGGAGGGCATTGGCGCGAGTGTTGCACAGCACAGGCGTGGTAGCAGCCGCATCTTCACAAGTGTTGCATCCAGAACATGGCGTGCCACCATTGTTAGGGCACGAAGCGGTAAAAACATTACCCGTGCCTTAAACGACAGCCGTGACAATCCTCATCCTCCTCCTCCTCCTCCTCCTTTTTCTCCTCCTCCGCCTCTGTTGTGTACGCTCGTCACATCCTTCGCCTCTGGCATGCTGTTCTCCTCCTCGTCCCGGCGGCCAGGAGCGGTGCAGGTGCGAACGAGACGGCGGCGGCCTCCGCAGGTGGCGACGAGGCAGCCGCACGGCGAGGGGGAGGGCGAGTAGCAGACAGGGTATGATGAGAGACGGGCAGGGAGGGAGGATGGAGGAGGAGGATTTGAGCAGGACGGAGTGGGGGAGAGGGGGGGGGAAAGGAGGAGGACGAGGAGGAGGAGGAGGAGGAACAATAATAATAATAATAAGAAGAGGAGGAGGAGGAGGAACACCAGGAACCAGGATGAGGGGCGGAGGAGGAGGAGGAGGAGGAGCTGAAGGAATGAGGGGAGGGGGAGAGGGGAGAGGGGGAGGAGGAGCGGAGAGAGCAGAGGGGGGAGATATCAGGATGGGGGGCGGGAGGAGGAAGAGGAGGAGGAAGAGGAGGAAGGAGGAGAAGCGACCTCGGTAGAAAGGAACGGATTATGTTGTTGTTGATGATGATGATGATGATGATGATGCTGATGCTGATGCTGATGCTGATGCTGATGCTGATGCTGATGCTGATGCTGATGCTGATGCTGATGCTGATGATGATGATGAGGAGGAGGAGGAGGAGGAGGAGGAGGAGGAGGAGGAGGAGGGGGAGGGGGAGGAGGAGGAGGAGGAGAAGGAAAAGGAGATACGAGGAGGGATGGAGTAGGGGAGAAATATGGGTCGGAGATGGAGGATCTATGAGGGCGGATGGGCCGGTGCTTGCTTGACTACTCCGCTGGGCAGTGCTCGAAAGATCATGCTGGCTCTCACCAAGGCCGGCTGCTTGCAGGAGAAGAGGGAGCAGCAGCAGGATGAGACGAAGGAGGTGGAGAAGATGAAGGGGAGCGAGACGCGAGGAACGAGGTGGAGGAGGATGGCTGTGTGGCAGGTGGCAGGGTGGCAGGCGGAGGAGGAGAAGGAGCAGGGGGGGCGGCAGGGGGGGGGAGAACGGAGCGCGAGCGCGGCGGAGCGGGTTGGCGACGTAGGCTCTGCTCCTCCAGCCCCCCCCGCTCTGCCTCTGTCCCTGCAGGATCGGCCCCTGGCCTCTTGGCGCAAGCCGACGCGGCTCTCTGCCCGCTGCAGGTGGCGGCCTCCTCCCGACCAGCCCACCGCAGCAGGGGGGCAGCCATTGGGCCATGCAGGTCACTCCAGTGAGGAGGACGTCCTTCGCGGCGAACGTGGTGAAGAGCAGCGCCTGCGCCGTGGGCGACGTGGGCGAGACCGTGATCCCGAGCACGAAGCTGAAGGCAGGCGAGGCCTTCGACAGCGCCCTGGTGACGGAGCTCGCGGCGGGCACGCAGTTCGAGGTCGTGGAGGTAGGCTCGCTGCCGAACCGCATCCGGGTGACAACTTCCGCTGGCCACGCCGGCTGGATCAGCAAGGCCACGGAGCAGGGCAGTGTGATCGTGAAGTGGGTCCGCAAGCGCCGCACCAGCTTCCAGCAGAAGGACGGGGGCAGCCTGAACGGCCGCTTCCTCTTTCGCCCCCTCGCCCTCCTTCCTATCTTCCTCTTTGTTTCTTCTCCAGGACTTTGAGCGGAAGACCACCGAGGACAAGGATAGCATCCAGTTGCAAACGGGGCTGTCTGGGTTGTCTGTGGGCGATGTGTGCGAGACCGTCATGGACATGACGACCCTCCGCGAAGGCGAAGATTTCAAGAGCAACGCGGTGGGGCAGATCCCACAGGGCACGCAGTTTGAAATCGTCAGCGTGGCACCAGCGAACAGGGTGAAGATCATCGTGCCAGACACGGTCCTGGAAGGCTCACCTGCCCTTTCAGCTTGATCTCTGTTGAAGCCTACAACAACATCCATGTTACTAGTGTTCGGTGTCATGCGATCGCGTTCCATCATATATTTAACACCCTCGATACGTGCCCTCTTCGTCTTTGATCGTACCCACCCTTTGGAGTAGACTAGCATCTTCCTTACATGCCGCGTGTGGTTGGCGTAGCCCCGAAAGCATGGGGAAGGAGGGCGCAGAGAAGAGACAAGGGGGAGGAAGAAAGGTCATCCTTACACACTGGTCGCTGGAGGTTGGTATTATTGGATATCCAGATCTCAATATACTGCGAGCGCCTTCCTAGTCTAAGCGTCGGCATCAGTTTGCTGCGTTTGGTTATTTGTCGGGCGTGTCCGAGCCCAATCTGCTTTAGCCGCCTTCCTACTTCGTGTTTCCCCCTGCTCCTTCCGACTGGCGAGCATCCCTCCACGTTATCCCTCCCTCATCGTTGCCGTGCTGCATTCTTAAAAGGATGTCGACTACACGTAAGACTACGTAAGAGTGACCCTTCTCCGGAGTGACCTTTGGTGCGGGCCCATTGGGGACCCTCGATTGCCAAGCGCGATGTGGTGGTAGCGTCTTGCGCGCTTGTGTTTGGTCCCCCCGTGGCCCCCCAAAAGCCGCTCACCAATGGTCACTCTTGCCCAGGGTACTCCAGATTTCACAATAAAAGGGGGGTGGCCTGATTTGGGATGGGGTCAGATTTTAGCTGTCTTGGAGGGTTCCAGTGGGTCTGGGCAAAAAGCCGCCCTTCATGGCTTGTTTGGGGGGGTCTGGAATTGCCCGTCTGTGACCCAGACTCCTCCTCCTCCTCCTCCTCCTCCTCCTCCTCCTCCTCCTCGTCCTTCTCCTCCTCCTCCTCCTCCTCCATCTCCTCCTCGTCCTACTCGTCTGGGCTCTCCTGTAGGGGGCCACATGCGAACCCTACCCCTACCCCCCACGATTTCTGAGGGGGAGGGTGGGCTTCACTTCGCTCGGGAGCTCCCGAATGAAGTGAACCCCACCCCCACCCCTCAGAAACCGTGGGGGGTAGGGGTAGGGTTCGCATGTGGCCCCCTACATGATAGGAAGGATGGAGCAACTTTCCAAGGCTGCCCTTGCATCCCTGCCCCTTCGGTATTCGGCATCCTTCGGCAGTCTGCTGCGCTCCGCACGGGAAGCGTCAACAAGGCGTTCCAAGGCCCTTGCACCCTTACCGCGCATCCTTACTATCCTGGTCGAGTGTGGCGCGATTTCCAGGGAAGCCGTGAGTAAGTCCGAAGCGAGAACGTGGTTCCTGAGTGTCGACGGCGCGGCGCCGCAATACACTGCGAGGACGACCGCGCGAGAGCGCGACTCTGTATAGATTGTGAGAGCGTCCCGTGCGAAATCGCGATCTTGAATTAGTCGTGAGGGAAACTATTCAAGCTGGAGCCGTTTTCGTGGTGGTTCCGGGGGGGAATTTCGCATTCTGGTGCGCCAGAGTTTCCCCTGTGATCAAACGGCCTGGCGAGGGACCCAACCAGATGCAGTTTTGAGGGGCTCCCTTGTGAGAGTCGTCGTCGGTGGCGCTCCCTGTGGGCCTCGGCGGTGTGCCGAAATGGGGCGGGGGGACGCATGTGGACCTTCTCATTGTGGATTTCGGTGGAGCCATCATATGGGGGCACGAGACGTGCGAGAGGTGTGCCGGAATGGGGCGGGGGGACGCGTGTGGACTGCGCCATTGGGGTCTTCCTTATGGGGGCACGAAGCGTGCGAGGGGTCTGACACTGGGGCCTTCGGTGAAGCTCCCTACGGGGCTTCGGGGTGTGCCAAGATGCGGCGGGGGACGCATGTGGACCCTGCCACTGGGGCGTTCGGTGCTGTGGCTTTCAGTGGAGCTCTTTCTGGTGGCACGAAACGTGTGAGGGGTGCGCCGGAATGGGGCGGGGGTGACGCGTGTGGATTGTGCCACTGGAGCCTTCGGGGGCACGAAGAGTGCGAGGGGTCTACCACTGGGGCCTTTGGTGAAGTTCTCGGGGTTTCGAAGCATGCGAGGGGTGTGCCGAAACGGGGACGTGTGTGGACTGTGCCATTGGTGCCTTCGGTGGAGCTCCTCATGGGGGCACGAAGCATGTAAGGGGTATGCTGGAATGGGGCGGGGAGACGCATGTGGCCTGGGCCTCTGGGGCCTTGGGTGGAGCTCCGTCAGGGGCCACGAAACGTGCAAGGGGTATGCCGACATAGGGCGGGGGGACGCATGTGGACTGTGCCAATGAGGCCTTCGGTGGAGATCCTCGTGAGGCCACGAAACATGAACTGGTGTGCCGAAACAGTGACATGCGGAGGGCAGAGGCAAGGGGTGAGAGAAGTGCGAGGAAGGGGATGGGGGAGGAGGAGAGGATGTTACTCGGGGCGCTGCCTGTTCAATTTCTGTTCCATTGAACAACGCAATGATCACCTGGGCAAGAGGGATCCAAAGTCCTTTTCTTGAGAAATGAGAACTCAACAATATACACACCACACCCGCACCCGACTTGTTTGATTCCGACTCGCCCATGTGATCCAGTCGACGGTTTAGCTGCGGGGCACGCGAGCAACGAACTGGCCACCCCGGGTGGAGACGTGCACAAGGTTGGAAATCTCGAGAGGCCACGCCGAAACGAGCCCGCACACACACACACACACACTGGCCCACACATCCGATGTTTTGGTTCGTTTCGTATTCGGGGGGCCGGAAGCCCCGTCCCTTTCCACAGGGCCGGTCACTCGTCCTGAGTGTTTCTTGACGGTCCCAGGGCCCAGCGAGGGCCCGCGGCGACCGACCACGTTCTAAAAACCTCTCGTTGTTTCGTTTCCACGGCACGCGCATATCTGGGCGCGGCCACACACCGCATCACAGCACAAGAAGCACTCGCTGCCCCAGATAGGCGGGGCCGTCGGCTGGATCAGCTCCCACACGGACACGGGCAGCAAGCTGTTCAAGCTGATCAGGGCGGGGCCGAAGAAGAGGCAGTCCAGCTTCAACCTCACGAAGAACATGTCCATCCCGCTGGGCCAGGCCTCAGGAACAACGTCAGGGGGACATCTCGGACGATACGATTCTCTCTAACCGACACTATGCCTTTTTGTTCGGCCCTCGGGGTCCTTCTTCGGGCCCAGGGATCGCCTCAGGCGGATCCGCGATGAAGAACTGCTCCGGGGAAGTGGTCGGGGCCCTTGGCGCCGCGGACTGACAACTACACACTGTTCATTTCTAATTCGTCGAGGGTTCTTTGTTTTTTTGGGGGCCAAGATCCTTGCATTTGTAATTGTTCTATCCTGGGCCTCTTCCTGGCCACTAGGCGGCCAGGAACTATTAGAAACGAGCACAATTAGAAATGAGCACGATCAGAAATGAACGACGTCTAGGAACGGGGAACCTGATGGAGGGGTCCGATCAGGGGCAGCGCCAGGGGGCGAAGTGCTCTCAAGGGAGGACGCAGCGGCCCGCAATCTCCCACGCATCGCCCATAGGATTCAGTCGGGCCTGTCCCTCTACAGCAGGAATATCCAAACATAGTAAAACAATAGTCTGGGGAAGATTTGTCGACTATGTTTAAGCATTTTTGAGACATTTTTGGGTCATTTCTATTTTGTCGTCCAAAATCCCCTTGCATGGGGGACAGGACAGGCCCGACCTAACCATAGGGGCCCGATGGCCCACCCCGCCCAGGAACCCGCGGACTCCCTACCGAGGCCCTGCCGCCGATCTACATGGGCAACGCATCGCCGATTCTGGCTCGATTCCGGCGGCGAGCGGGGGGGGAGGGGAAGTGAGAAGGAGAAGGCCCTCTCAGAGGGTTCGGAAGTCCCCCGGCCTTCCGAGAAGTTTCTACCTATAAGCCTTCCCTGGAGACCAAGACACAACTCCTCAGAAGGGCGCGAGGGCTTCCGAGGAGTCCCGCCGCCTTTGAGAAAGCCTTCTCCTTCTCACTTCCCCCACGGGCGCGCCGCCGAATTTGGTTTTTGGGTCGTAGCTCGGGTCTCCGGCGGCCCTCCGGGACGATCCAGGCACCCCCAGAACGCCCCCCGCGAGGCGCAGCTGCCGACAAGCATCCCGAGGCTGGAACACCGCCGAGAACCGACGACAGCGTCCGAAAACCTCGAGGCTCGAACCCGAAACTTCCCCCCCTCGCTCGCCGCCGACGATTGCCGTCGCAATGCGACTCTCTCCACAT